CCGCCTCCACCACCGCCGCCGCTGCCGCTCGGCGCGGCCATGCCCGCGGGGCCCGTCGGCCGCCGCGCCTCGGTGCGCCCCCTGCTGGGCGGCGCCGTCGGGACGGCGCTCATGTAACCGGCCGGGTCACCCAGGTAGCCGCGGAGGGAAGCTGTCGAGAAGTCGGACCTGAGGCATGACAGCTCTGGAAGCCCAGCGGTCACCAGGGACTCCAGGGTGCCCCGTGAGAGCGCGTCGATGGTGGCGCGCGTCGGGCAGAAGCGGGTCGTGTTTGTCAGGTCCAGGTAGACGCTGCAGCGGCATGGGTTGTACTCGGCTGCGGGTGGAAGGGCGGGCGGCGGTTGTGTGGCGGTTGCGCGGCAGTTGCGGGGCGTTTCCGGGGCGTCGGCCGCGGCGTTGTGGAGTGGCGAGACAGGGGGCGTCGGATCTGCAGGCTCCATGCATTACAACTGCACAGGTAGTTGCAGCACGCCACTCAACGCCATGGGACGGTAATTCACAAGGGCGCTGCGGCGCCGTGCACGCACGGCGGCTGTTTGCGTGGGCCGCACCAGGGATGGCGATCGCGTCGAGCATGTAACTGGGGATCTGGGACCAGATGTCGTTGTTGTCCAGGAACAGGTAGTGGAACAGCTGCTGGTCACTGCGCGCAGAGCAATCAGCAGTTTTTGAGTGGTAAGAGCGGAGAGAAGCAAGGGGTAGTGAGGGCGATTGAGTTGGAGCCGTGGTTTGCCTCGCGCGGTCGGCGCGTTCAGGCACCCGGGGGGAGGGACCTGCGATTGCCGCTTGCGGCTGCTGTCGGCCTTGCGCTTGCCGACAAGCTCTAGAGTGGAGGATTCTGCGTGCCGGCATGGCGCATAGGAGGGTGTGAACTCACGGTGGTGAGTCATGGACCCACTGGAACACCCCCAGCTTCTGGAGGCCCATGGGCAGGCTGCCCTCCTGCGTGGAAGTAGGCGGGCAACAGTGCAGATTCCGATAAAAAATCACATACACATAGGGAGGTTTGATTGGCTCAAAAGTGCAGCTGATGGGCACTCGCAAGCATGTTGGTGCGGCAGGAGAGAGCGCGAATAATGGGCCCCGCAGGGAGGTCTAGATTGCAACCTCGGGCGGCACGACAGACGCACCAGCTTGTTGTTGCTGAAGTCGAGGAAGGTGATCTTGGATCCGAGGTAGACTCCGCGGGTCGCCGGCGCCCGCTCGGCCGGCGCCTTGAAAGGGTCGATCGGCGCCATAGGCGGCAGCGCGATGCCCCGCCTCGGGGTGTCGAGCGGCGGCGCCCACATCCGCTGCGCCGCGGCGGCGTCCACGGGCCCCCGCGTGCCCCCGGCGGCGCGAGAGACGGTGGCCATCTGCTGCGGCGCCGCGTCCCGCTGCGCGCCCTCCCCGTCGCCCGCCGCGGCGGCCGGGGCGGCGGCCGGCGGCGGCGCCTCCTTGCTGGGCGCCACCTCGGACTGTGGCTGCGGCTGCGGCGCGTCGGAGGCCGCGCGCGGGGCCCGGGGCTGAGGCGCGGCGGCCGCGGGCTCGTCCCCGCTCTGCTTGTCAGCATCCGCATCGCCCGTCGGCGGCGGCGCCGGCTTGGGGGACTTGGCCGAATGGTAGTAATTGACGCGCCCCGCAGGCGCGGCCGCGGGCGACGCGGCCGCGGGCTTCGCCCCGCGCTGCTGCCGCGCCTCGGGCTCCGGCTCGGCCGCGGGCTCGGGCTCCGGCTCGGGCCCGTCCCGGAGCAGGCGGCGCCGCAGCTGCGCCGCCTCGTTGTACGCGCCCGCAGACAGCAGCGCGCGCCGGCGCCGCGCGGCCGCGCGGCGGCGGCGGCGCGTGCGGGGGTCTGGCAGGGCGGCGGCGAACTCGTCCAAGGTTCCGCCGATCTTGTTTTCCGCGAGGTTGATGAAGCTGAGCCAAGGCAGGGCCGCCAGATCTGGCGCGATCACGCCTGTGAGGCAGGCGGTTGGGTGTGGGAATGGTGGAGTCAATCAGGGTCGACGAGGGGATTGATGGGCGGCGCTGCCAATGTTGTCGAGGGCGGCGGCGCTTTGAAGAGCATCTGCGCCCAAGCAAGCTTTGCGCGGCGCGCACATCCCGCGCCTGCGTGGGGCTGCTTTGTCTGGGGTCTCCGGTCAAGCACGCCACCGGCCCCACTCGGTCGGCTTCGCGACTGCTCCTGCAACCCCAGGCGCAGGCGTGTGTCGCATGTCCGAGGCGGGGGCGCTCACCGGTGATCTGGTTGTGCGACAAGTCGAGCATTTCCAGCAGCTCCATCCGCCAATCTGTGCCGTCGAGATCTGGAGGTTGTTTGGAAGTCGGCGGGGCGGAGAACCGTTGGCCACAGACAGAGTATGGCACACAGACAGAGTATGGCACACAGACAGAGTATGGCTCTGCAGCATGCAGAATCAGCACCGCCACCTCAGCAGCCGCGTCGGTGCATCAAAAAAGCATACGCCCCCTACACACGCGCCGGAGCCGGCATAATTCGACCGCGTGTTATGGCAATGGTCCAGCAGCTGCGCCCACCCGTCCACCCACCCACCTCCAGCAAGGCTGTTGTTTCCGATGCACAGCACGCTCAGCGTGCGCGCCGACCCTCCCCACGTCGCTGGCAGCGGCCCGCTGATGCGGTTGCTGGTGAGGTTCACCCAGGCCAGGCTCGTCTCTGCAAAGTCCGGCAGCGCGCCGACGGCGCCGTTGTCTGACAGATCCAGGATCCGCAGGCTCTTCGGGAGCGTGCCTGAAGGAACAAAAGCGCGCGCCGGCACGGGGGGAGAGGGCGTGGAAGGCCGGTCAGCAACGCGGAGCCAGACGGTCAGGCCCTGCAGCAGCTGCTGCATTGAGGCTCCAAATGTGTTGCCGCTGCCGCCCCTGCACGCCGCTGCCACCGCCTGGGGACCGCCCCTCTGCACGCGCGCCTCCACAAACTATTTCTGCACAGGAGCAGGAGCGGCGCCGGCCCGCCAAGCAGCATGGTGCCTGCAGGCGCCCACCAGGCATGGTAGCTATGCTGTTGCCCTTCAGGTCCAGCCAGTCCAGGCCCTGGGGCAGTGCTGGGACGTCCCCCGTCAGCTGGTGGTGCGGGAGCACCAGGTCGGTTAGGCCCACAGCGTTGGACAGCGTCGACGGCAGCGGGCCTGCGTTCAAGTGTGTGTGTGTGTGTGTGTGTGTGTGTGTGTGTGTGTGTGTACGAGAGTGTGTATGTGTGTGTGCGCGTGCAGGCACGCGCGCGCTTGTAGAGAAGAGTTCATATGCTGTTGCCTCCATCAGCCGACAAGTCCGGGCCTATAATCTACAGAGGCCGCGCAGCGCCCACAATCACAGAAGCTGTCAAAAAGAGCGAGCCCTCTATCGCAGCAAAGCGTAGGCTTTCAATGCAGGCGCGCGCACATCTCTGCATGCGCACCAGTGAAGTGGCCGTTGGGCCACGGCCGGCCGGTGTCAGGGTGGACGTTCCACGCGTACAGGACGCGCAGGCGGCTGCCAGACGGGATCGTGTCAGGCAGGCCGCCGCTCATGCGGGTGCGGGTGAGGTACAGCTCCTCGATCGAGGGGCTCTGCGCGTTCAGAGCAGAGTCGACCGCGGGGAGTCGGTTGGGTCAGCAGCAGCGCTGGTCGCTATATGCGAAAGGGAGAGGGCTTGGGAGCTCAGCGGCGACGCCGCTGAGGCGCGCGGCCTCCGCAGGGTGTTGGGCACGTTCCCTTGTGCCTGAACTGCAGCTGCGTGCCTGAACTCGCGGCCCTGCGCAACGGCAGCCACCCACTAGCGCGCCACCCACTCGCAGCGGTGCTGCTCCCTCCGCGAGCTGACAATCATCGGCCCGCCCGCCCGCCCCCCAGCCGCCTGGCAAGACGCGCGCTCACCCCAAGGATGCAGTCGGGCAGCTGTCCGGAAGCCATGGAGTCGCTCAAGTCCAGGATCATCAGCTTGTCCTTGCCTTTGACCAGATCACATGGGACGGCCCCGCCCAGATCTGTACTGCGGAAATACAGCCGCTCCAGATCCTTCAGCGGCGCCAGCACCTGAGATGCATGATCATCGTCGGCGTGTTATTTTCGGTGTTGTGCAGACTGAGACAGAAGGCTGGGGCGTGTGGGCTTGCTAGTCCGTTGACCTCAACACGCACCTGCTTCCCAGGCGCTGCCGCTGACGTTTTGCAATGCGCAAACGCACGCATGCACGCGCCCACAGGCGTAACTACACACATGCGCACATGCTCTGTCAACACCCGCACATACGCACGCCCTCTGCTAGCGACCGCCCCCGGCCCACCTTGGCGGCGTTCGTGAACGTGTCCCCCCCAAACGTGGCGACCTCAAACTCGATCGTGTGCAGCGCCTCAAACTCCGATATGACCGCAGGGAACGCCGGGCAGCTCAGCCACGCGCCGCCCAGCATCAGCTTCTGCAGGCGCCCCTCGGGCGTGCACATGAAGGGCCCGACCTGGCAGATGTCGCTGCTGGCGTCGGTCTTCACCGCGACCGCGTTGGGCAGGCTGGGCGCGGCGATTGCGTAAGTGCGGCGGATGGGCGGGGGACTGTCAGGTAATGCGTACAGATCCTGATTCAAACGCTCAGATGCTCAGATGCTGAGCTGCACAGCAGCAGCAGCAGCAGCAGCAGCAGCAGCAGCAGCAGCAGCAGCAGCAGCAGCAGCAGCAGCAGCAGCAGCAGCAGCAGCAGCAGCAGCAGCAGCAGCAGCAGCAGCAGCAGCAGCAGCAGCAGCAGCAAGGTATACATCAGACAACCTTGGTGCCCCGGCCGCAAAATCCTCAACACTCACACGTTCGCGCAAAGTTCAACGTTCGGCGCCCCCATCTGAATTGACCGCCGCACGTCGCAGCACTGAGACACCAGCCTGGCGAGCGCGGTCTTCTCCGCCGCCACCAGCCGCGTCGACATGAGCGGCGTCTGGACGCGCACTGAGTAGATGGTCGCCTTGCGGTCGGAGGTCCGGCAGAACATCTGCGCGCCGCCAAGTGAAATGCGGCACGATCGGAGGCGTTGGCGGCACTGAGGCGTCGGTGCGCTCGCCAAAACCCATCCTGCCGCACCCCTGCCACCTGGAAAGCAACCACGTCAGCCGCGTTGTCTGTGCCTCTGCCGTGGCGCAGGGCACTCTCTGCTAGGGGCGGCGGCTCACCCTGATGCGCCAGGTGCCTGCCTTGAGCTGCTGCCCGTGGATTCGAATGTACGTCTCGGTCATCGCCGTGTGGCCCTCTATGCCCCCCACCAAACGGAACATCATGTGCTCCTGGAACACAGAACCAGGCCCGATCGCCACCCTGCCGGCCCCGGGCGGCGCAGGGCGAGAGGCGGGGCCGCGGAGCGCGGCGATTGCTGATGTTGCATAGGCGAGCGCCCGGAGAGGCGGTCGGCCGATGCATGGCCGGTTCTTGGCGCGCATGCTGTTGCAAGACGGGACGCTGCAGGCATGCAAAGGCTTGAGCTGCAGGGCAGCTGGGACGCTCGCGCCGCCTGCGAGCCACCACCAACCGGCCAACAAGACCGCCAATCCTAGTCGTCCCAGCCGGCTCACATGTCAACGCGCCCGCCTATCGCCTTGGCGGTGAGCAGGATGGAGAACGGCTTGCTGGCTGTGCGCGGCGGGACCACAAATGTGTACTCCTGGACCTCTCCAGTCTTGATTGTGTCCTGCAGCATGCATCCGTCCATCGAGCCCTCGATCGCCTCTGCGCCGCAACCCGCCGTCGCCGACAGGGGCCGCGTCTCGCTCGGCTCCATGCGTAGCACGTCTGGAAAGGTAGTCGATTGCGCCGCTGCCATGCCAACAGCCAGCAGAGCTAGAACAGGGACCGCCCAACGCAGGGTACCCATGCCGCCCGCTGTTCGGCTGGTGTCACTTGCGTCGCCGCACCGCTACAATTTGCATTTAATAAGTGCGTTTTACGTAATACGGCAGGATATAGCGCTCTTCAATGATGGGTGTTTTGGTGTGCTGGTGCTGGTGGAGCCACTGTTGTATGCAGGTGGGATGCCGGTGAGACGAGATCCTGGCAATCCAAGTTATTGTTATGCGTTCGTTGCGAAACAATCAGCCGACTGAAGAGGAGCCGGTGCGAAGATCGATCCTATCCCACATCCCTGTCGCCAATGTACGCGATACCCAGCCTCCCCCGCCGGAGATCATCTGTTAAAATCTTTTTACAAATTCAATCATGCCACTGACTCGCCGTTCACCGGGGTCACCGTGCTGTGGCTGGTAGTGTTACAAGCGGCTCACCAACAGACACGTACAGCTCGGGTTGAAAGGCCGTGGCTGTTTCGACTTGCAAGAAGAATAAACATGACATGATATTCGCGCAAGTTGAGCGTGGGTGCCCCATGCAGTCCCAGTGCGCTGCATGTGTGTAGAGCTGTGTGAGAGTGTGACACTGCATGTGCTAGTTGTGCGGTTCCACAAGAGCCAGCCAGGTCCTTGTATGGAAACACCATTGCATGCTGCTTGAAGGCAATGAGCAATGCGGCGCAGGGCATGATTGGGCAACGATGACCGGCACTTTGTGCCATGTTTGGTGCTGCTGTTGGATCAAATCCGGTGGCGATAGCTCCTGCTGCACCTGCAAGCGCAATACGTTGCACACGCACATGCGATGACTTCATCGTGCATCACGCCTTCTATCACACTGAGGGAGTACGACGGCGCTCAATTCAGCAGCTGCTTTCAGGTTCCGGCTCAATACGTTCGCAGAGGTCACGCTATGCACGCAGCATCCACCCCCGTTTGTCAGGAAAGTATGTATCAACCACCTTTTAGTCGTGGTCTGCAATCCCTCTCGCACCGGGGGCGCGTCGTGGCAAGTGTGCGGCAAGCAGCAGAGTGCTCAGAGCAAGTGGGGTACCCTGGCCCACACCCAGTCCACAGGAACTCGTATCCAAGATCAACTGAGCGCGACGGCCAGTCGACCAGAGTGGCGGAGTGTCATACTGAGCAGTATTCCACTGTTCTTTGCGTTTGTAGGATCCACATGCACGGCTCGCCTCCTGGTCACATGCGACATGCGTAACATATGACCACGAAAGGAGTCACTGGATTCAGGACAGGGGTTTCAGCCTCGACGTCATTGTCGATCCTGTTCCTCACTCATGCAGTCTTATATTTAATATGACTTGCTACATACACCCCACTGATCCATCATCGCGGCTGCTACCGACAGCATCGCGAGCAACCTAATGCAGCTGGATCGCGATATGAACCGCTGGAGTTTGCTTTTGGCATGTCTTGCGGTTTTCGTGGGTGGGCTAGTGCTGCCAGCTGAGGGCAACCAGGCGTGCGCACGACAATCAGAGGACGCGTGCGTGTCTGCGAGCAACGCGCAGGTGCGAGGTGCATGACGGTATTTTAGAGGAGGACAGAGCGTCCGTCTTAGATCTCATGACGGCGATCAGCAGCGACCGCAGCGCGGCGCCCATTCGCGCTGTCGCGGGGTGCCGAATCAAATTGGACACCGGCACTTGCTGCTGCCGCAGGAGCCGCCTGAACACCAGAACAATTCATGGTGCGCCATGCAAGCATCTATGCAAAAAAATTGATTAACCAGAGCAAACATACCTTGGATGCTTGGAGAGAAACGACCGCGTCACGGTGTGTCGCATTCACCTCGCCGCACGCCGCTGTTCGGCAGCCAATGTCCTCATGCCTGCCCACGCTCCGATTCAATCGACTGCAAAGGGTCCAAATCATATCTTGGCGGCCACGGGCATTTGTCTTCCACAATTTCCTGAGCAATGAGGAGTGCGAGCACATCAAGCGGCTCGCGGCGCCCACTGTGCGCTGCTCGGGCATTTGCACACGCCGACCAGACCGCCCCATCAAACCCTGATTTAGCAGAGCACGTGACTGCTTGCTGCAAGCAGACACACGTGCTAGCAGCACATGCTAGCAGCACCCCATACGCTGTGCACAAGCAGGCCGTCTTGCGTCGTGAGTGCCTTGCATACCCTTATACACATAGCGCCTGCCCTTGAGCCCACCAACTAACCGGCGCCCGGCCTCGCCCGGCCCTCCGCCCAGCTGAAACCCACGCAACCATGCACCCTCAGATGAAGCGGTCGACAGTGGTGGGGCCTGATGGCAGCAGCCTCGAGGATGACTACCGCACAAGCTACGGCACATTCATCAAGTGAGTCGGGGCCACGACGGCACTGAGGCGGCGCCAAGGCCCGGCCGCCGGCGCCTCCGCCGCCAGGGCGCCCTCGGGCGCACGAGCGGCTGCCCCCAGGGGAGCGGCGCGCGGTGACGCACCGGGCCCTCCCCACGCCTGATGCCCGTTGGCTACTGGCGCCGGCACCCCCAGAGCCCGGAGGGGGGCGGAGTACCCGCGCGGGTCGGCTGCGACAATGGCGGCCGCGCAGCTTGCTAGGGTGTCCACCGGCTGTCGGCCAGCATGCGATGGGGTTCCACGGCAGCAAGCATGGGCCGCAGATCCAGTGCGGTGCCCTCCCAATTTGACCAGGCGGCGCCAGGACGAGATCATATCGCGGGTGGAGGCTCGTGTGGCGTCGTGGGCGCACCTCCCAGAGGACCACTCAGAAGACTTGCAGGTGAGATAGGGCTGGGCCGGCAGCCGTCCAGGCTCTTTACTTGGGCAAGCAACCGTGTCCACAGACCCTCCTGATCTCAGCTGTGTCATGAGGTGAACCGGCTTGCGGACACGAGCCCACGCCCCTAGCACCGCCGCGTGCGTCGCCGCTTGGCGCTAACGCCCTTGCTGCGTGCCTGACCCCCCTCTGCACCCCCGGCCCCAACCTCCCGACCCCCACACGCCATCCGCCGCCCACCACTGGCAACTACGACTACTGTCTCGCAGGTCTTGCGGTACAGTGATGGGCAGTCGTACCGCCCTCACATGGACACCCTGCAGGACAAGGAGTTTGGGCCCAGGGTTGCCACAGTGCTGCTATACCTCTCAGGTGACTGCGTGCGTGTCTGTTCATCTCTTCATGTGTACAGTTTTGTACATTTTGCACATATGCAAGCGCACGTGTGTGTGTGTGTGTGTGTGTGTGTGTGTGTGTGTGTGTGCGCGTGTGGATGTGGATGTGGATGTGCGCGCGCGCGTGCATACGCTGAGAATTTCGCAAACCTCAGTACTCCGCCGCCAGGCCAGTCAGCAATTGAGAGACACCGCTTCGGTAGCCACTGTCGGCAATTCATCAGATCTTCACATTTACGAACCCAGCTCTGATCTCAACCTTTACCTTGATCTCAAGCTCGACCTTGCTATTGTCGCAATCTCCGCAAAATCCCCTGCAGACGTGGAGGAGGGGGGTGAGACGGCGTTCCCTGAGTCAAAGGACTGGGTCAGGCCAGACCTGGTCGAGGCGATGGGTCCCTTCTCAGAGTGCACCAAGGGCGGCGTCGCCCTCAAGCCGAAGAAGGCAGGTGTTGGCGGAGGGGCGGGGGCGGCGAGGCATCGACGGATACGATGCTTGCGGCGCGGCGACCGGCCTGGCATCCTCGAGCCGCATGCTCCCTCTCTGATGTCGCGGAGGCCGACTATTCGGGATCGATACATTGCATCCCCTCACGTCATACTCACGCCCCCGTCAATGCGCGACCTGTCGCACCAGGGCGACGCGCTGCTGTTCTGGTCCATGCGGCCTGACGCTCAGGAGGAGGACCCCGCCTCCATGCACACCGGCTGCCCCGTCACCAAGGGCGTCAAGTGGACCGCCACAAAGTGGATCCATGCCAAGCCCTTCAGGCGTGAGCAAAGAAGGGGTCTGCGAGTGTGATTACTGTGGAGAGGCAGGCAGCTGCAGGCTCCTTGTGTTGGCGGTGTGGTATGCTGCGTCGACAGCTCTGCGCAGAGTTCCACTCACGCGTGAGGCTGGAGCTGGCGCATTTTGCCAAGTATGCACTGTCAAAAATATCCCGCAACTATCGTATCATACGCTCACATTATGCACACACACACACACACACACACACACACACGCACATGCACATGCACACACGAGATGTGTTCACACAAGCTCACACACACACACACACACAAATAGACTCTAACATATACACACACACACACACACATACCCACTCTTTCTCTCTCTCTCTCTCACACACACACAAAGACAAACACAAAGGCGCATAACACCACCCATTCTCAACCCACCCATGTCCCAACCCCAGCCTCGACGTTTGGCATCACGGGGGAGCCGGACCCTGACCCGGGCCTGTGTGTGGACCGCTCCCGCGAGTGCGAGGCCTGGGCCGCCATGGGCCAGTGCCAGGAGAACCCCGCATTCATGTGAGCTTGACAAGGGGCATACAGCATCCCACTTCCGAGGTTTCTGGCTCTGTCCATTGCCTTTTTTCGAGCGTCTTGCTGTCTGAGCCACTGCTTGTACTGCCCTGCAGCCACGGCAGCGTCGGTGGGCTTGACTTCTGGTTTTCTTGTGGTCTGGCAAGTGGATTTGTGTGCGCGCAAGCAGGCAGCCTGCTGTGCTGCTGCAAACGGCGCCAGGGTCCGCGCAGAAATCCCACTGCCCGGCATCACTTGCTGGGAAGGCTTGCAACTGGCAAGCACAGGAATGATTCTCGCGCTTGCTGTCACACACACACGCATGCACGTGCATGCACATGCACGCACGCGCACGCACACACACACACACACACACACACACGCACGCACGCACGCACGCACGCACACAAACACACACACACACACACACAAGGGTCGGCGCCGGCGACGCGATGGGCTACTGCCGCTCAGCCTGCGGCGCCTGCCAGCGCTGCGCCGCGGGCGACGCGGCCTGCTACAATGCCAACAGGGCGAGCATGGGTTATCTCAGAGTGGTGGATTATGAGCGCCACTTATTCCCTGCGCTTGCGGAGCCGACTTCGCCGCCGGGGCGCACTGCCACGCCAGGGAATGGACGGGCGGCCGCTTCAGCGGAAGCTGAGCAGGCAGGAGCTGGGCCAGGGGATCCGATCGTGGAGGCCGCAGCAGAGGAAGACGAAGAGGCGGAGGAGGACAGGGAGCTGTGAGCGTTTATGACGCGCGGGCATGGGGCGCCCCCGCCTTGGCGGCCTGCCGCCTGCGGATGCAGCCGCGGCACGGTGTGGCGCAAGAAATGCGGAATCATGATGGAGTGCTGCGATCAGCCATCTGTGACACAACCTTGTTATTGACTGCTCGTTTGGAAATGCTCACTTTGTTTGAATGCTTACTTTGTTGTGAACGGTGACGCGGGCGTTCTTACCACCAGTTGTATTGAGCAACTGACCTCCGCGTTCACTGCGTGCAAAACCTGCTGCAAGCTTTGCGGCCGGCGCTGCAACGGTCTCCCTTGTGCACTTTCCTCTGTGAGGCTGCCCCGCCCACCACAAGCATTTGATAAGCAATTAAGCTCGTTTGCGCTGTTGCGCTGAAAGCAACTGGTAACACGGCGACAGTGCTTCTCAGCACCACCAACCAGCACGGCAGCAACGCATCACAAACACAGCAGGAGCGCCGCCCACATGCAATCAGGCCGCTTTCAGCCGTCGACAGCAGCATCGGACCCCGCTGCCGTGCCGCTCGCCGCCTCGGCCTGTGCGACCAGATCCTCGGCCTCCGCGATCTGTCGCGTGATCTCGTCGAGGTCGTGCAGCTGGGTGGCCTTGATGCCCAGCTGCACCTCCTGCAACAGTAGAGGGGGGTTGGGGGGCAGCATTCAGGGTCGCGAGGGACACCCGGCCGAGGGGGGCTATTCATAATGTACTGAAGTCGTACTTCAGAGTGTGGATGCGTGATCACCGTAGTGGGTATGCCAGGTGAGAAATCCCTGTCGAGCCTCGTCACTTCACTCTCCGCACACTGGCCGCCTGACTTTTGACTATTTACACAGCGCAGCGCAGCATAGGGCTGTGCAGGATGCTCGCGTCGGCAAACTGCAAAGGGGGAGCTGCACTCTCAGCTCCGATCAGCGAGATCTTCAGCATCTAAATCGGCGGTGCCTGCCCACCTGCTCGTTCACCCTGGCCAGGCCGCCCGACAGCCCTGCTAGTGAGTCCCGCCACCTGCTCAGCTCCCCTTCCTCCAGCACAACGGCGGTTGGTGACACGCGCTGCCGCAGCGTGCCGCGCTCCACGTCAGACAAAAGCTCCTGCAGTGTGAGCGCATTCGCATCGTATGACTCATTGCACATACTGACACTGTTGACATTGTCAGCAATGTGCCGTGCTTGAGCTTGCAAGCCCTAATACCTGTCTTCCTACTGAAAAAATGAAAACCTGATACACCACGAAATCGACTGCCAACGGGCCTGACGCAGACATCAAGGGCGTTTGTCAATGGCTTCCCACCGCTCAGCGCTGCGCCTGCTGCTCAACCGCCCCGCACGCACACCTTTCCTCCTCACGCCCCCGGCCCCTGCCCCCTCGAATCCACCCACCCACCTGCGCCCGCTTCCCCAGCTCCCGCCCCTGCCGCTCCAGCGTCGCCGCCATGCCCGGCCGCTTGCTCTCCACGAAACCCGCCGCCTCCCCCACCGCGCGCGCCAGGGCGCGGCCCGCCTCCCGGACGTCGTCCAATAGGACCTGGTTTGACGCCAATAATTAGATATGATGTATTATATGTGCATTGAGATACCTCCTCACGCTTGCATCTAGATGTTCAGTTGAGTGCAGCCTTAACGGTTGCTGCAAGGCGTTGACATCTTGAAAGAACGCCTGGGATGAGGGGAGCGGGGCCGCCCGTACGTAGGGGCCGGAGCGGCAGGCGGACTGCAAGACTGCGGATCGCGCGGCTCACGGGGCGCGCGAGCTCCCTGGCGTGCAAGGGGTTTGCTGCGTAGGCGCCCGCCCGCCCAGCCAGCGGCTCGGGGGCCCCGCGTCGCCAGGCGTAGCGCAAAGATTTGTCTGTAAGTGCGTGTCTGAGGCTGGGGCTGAGCATTGTGCCCTGGGCTGACGTTGTTCACCGCCCCCCCCCTTACCTGGTCGTTGTGCGGCAGCCGGCTGCCCCACGCCTCCACGCTCTCGTACAGTGACCCCACCGCCGCCACCTGCGGGCGCGACCGGCAGGGGTTCGTTGCGGTGGGCCTCAGTAACAGCCAAGCACACATGTGCAGCCCGAACTTCAGGTGATAAGGCTACCCGCCCTCAGACAGGCAGCTGGCTTGCCACTGGAGGGCTCCAATACCGAATCCTTCTCGATCCCACGCACACACGATGCCGCTGGCTGTTGGTGCGCGACCCCGATCTGTGCAGCTGCTCGAACGCGTGTGCGTGGAAGGACTGCTACTGCACGCACTCAGGATCGAACCTGGGTCAGCTGGCTGTCGCGCTCGGTACGCGCGGCCGCGGCGGCAAGCGTGTAGGTGATGAAGTCCGGCAGTACCGACGGCCGCTGCTTGAGGACGCTGCAGCGGGGGCGGTGGGACGAGCGGGATGATGGGCGGCGGATGGGCGGCAGGCAGTCGGCGAGGTGTAGGTCATGTGGGCGGGCAGCATCAGGGAGAGGGTGTGGGCAGGCTGCCGCGGCCCAAAAGTCAAGGTTCAAGACGTTGCAAAAACGACACCTGCTGTAGAAGAATCATCCGCCGACTCAACGAGCAGCTGCCTGGGGGGCGCAGGCGCAAGTGCTGGGCAGGCGCGTCGGATGCATGCACTTCTCTGCATCCGGCGGAGCCTCTGGCCAAGGATTAGGCGCGCGTCATGATGATGGCCATCATTTCTGACGCCGCCCACCTTACGCGCGCCTGTATCTCCTGCAGCACGCGGGTTCCCTCCCGGCGCGCCGCACTGACGAGCATCACGCACACCGTGGCCAGGGCCGACTGGCGGGGCGGGCGGGGGGAAGTGGATGGGGTGGGGCAGGACGACGGATCAGAGAGGGGAGTGGGCATGGGGCTACCCTTTCAAATGTAAGGAGGGTGAAAAACGGTGCCGGTGAGGGTCCCCAAATCCTGGAAGGAGGGGGGGCACACCCAGTGAGGGCGCCACCTGCGCTATGTGGTGTGGGGTTTCAGGAACCTCTGGTGCGCTGGCCGCGTTCATATTGTGTGTGTGTATGTGTCTGTGTGTGTGTGTTGTGTGTGTGTGTGTGTGTGTGTTTAATGCGCCCGTGGGCCCCTGCTGCAAACCCGCCCTCCTGTCTGTGTATGAGGCATCGTGGGTGTCACTCAAACAGCCGATGCAAGCAGGAATACCACTTTTGCCGTCCATCCGCAATTCTCTCTGTGTTTGATGTATCCACCCAAATAGTTGAGGCAAGCGGGGCGGACATGTGGGGTTGGCCGCCGACCTTGAGGGTGACCAGGTGGGTGGCCTTGAGTGCCTCTGTCTCGAGCTGCAGGCAGCCGGCCGGCTGCGCGGCCACCACCTGCTGCAAGCTCGCCATCCACTCCCTGGGTCGGTGCAAGGGCACGGGGAGGTCAGGCAGGCACATGTTGTGCAGCTCGCATGCACTCATACATTCCACAGAGTGGTGATTGCTGTAGCGGGAAGGGGGGCATCAGGTGTGATGTTGGGCCGAGGGCCCCTTGTGAGATGGGCTGCCTTGATGCACGAAACATGTCAGATCAAGAGCGCTGGCTCTGCCAGGGTCACGCAAAGCTGGGTGTCAATGTCGTGCGCGCGCCCAGGGCGGCATCGCCCCCACTGCAGGCTCAGATAATCGAGCCCGACCCCACACGCAGAGAGCTCCACTATGGCAGAAGCAGGCAGCCAATGGGACACAATCACAATCCTGACAGATCACAATCCTCGTGCACATCCAATCGGGCGTGTAGCAGACCCAGCAGGCCCGGGTTCTTGCAATGCAGTGCCTGTAGTCGCACCTGATGAGCACGGCGTCGCGCCTGAGGGACGCCACAGTGTGGGCGCGCGAGCGGTAGGCGGCCGCGTCCCATGATCGGGTGAACCTGCGGGGCGGATTCACGGGGCAAGGGGCGGGTCGGGCGGGACATTGCAGGGCAGCGCCGTTTGCCTAAACCCTGGACAGGGGTAGCAAAACGGTTTGAGCATGGCATGACATCATCCGAAGGTGAAGTGGCGTTATCGTTCATGCTGTAATGGATGCGGGCGCGACAGGTCAATGCGCTGCCTTTGGTGGCCCCAGCGCCATGTGCGGCCCTGTGGCAGTTCCGAGCCGATCGCTCTTCCAGCCACTCGACCTCCCTTGCCATTCTGCGTGGCTTTGGGGTGATCATAATCAATCCAAGCCAGGGTCAAGCGATTTCCCACTTCGCC